TGGGAGGGTACTGGGAGGAAGGTTTGGGGTCACTGGTTTGGACTGGGAGAAGGTTTGGGGTGACTGGTTTGGACTGGGAACTCACTGGGAGACCATTGGAAGAAACTGGGAGAAGGTTTGGGGTCACTGGTTTGGACTGGGAGAAGGTTTGGGGTCACTGGGAGCAGGTTTGGGGTCACTGGTTTGGACTGGGAGAAGGTTTGGGGTCACTGGTTTGGACTGGGAGGGCACTTGGAGACACTGGGAGAAGGTTGGGGGTCACTGGTTTGGACTGGGAGGGCACTGGGAGGGAGTTTGGGGGCTTGGGGGTTTGGAGCACTAGGAGGGGGTTTGGGGTCACTGGTTTGGACTGGGAGAAGGTTTGGGGTCACTGGTTTATACTGGGAACTCACTGGGAGCAGGTTTGGGGTCACTGGTTTGGACTGGGAGGACACTGGGAGAAGGTTTGGGGTGACTGGGAGGGCACTGGGAGACACTGGGAGAAGGTTTGGGGTCACTGGGAGAAGGTTTGGGGTCACTGGTTTGGACTGGGAGAAGGTTTGGGGTCACTGGGAGGGGGTTTGGGGTCACTGGGAGCGACTTTGGGGTCACTGGGAGAAGGTTTGGGGTCACTGGTTTGGACTGGGAACTCACTGGGAGACCATTGGGGGTCACTGGGAGAAGGTTTGGGGTCACTGGGAGGGGGTTTGGGGTCACTGGTTTGGACTGGGAGTGCACTGGGAGAAGGTTTGGGGTCACTGGTTTGGACCGGGAGGGCACTGGGAGTCACTTTGGGGTCACTGGTTTGGACTGGGAAGTCACTGGGAGGGGATTGGGGTCACTGGGAGCAGGTTTGGGGTCACTGGTTTGGACTGGGAAAGCACTGGGAGAAGGTTTGGGGTCACTGGGAGAAGGTTTGGGGTCACTGGTTTGGACTGGGAGGGCACTGGGAGGGGAGAAGGTTTGGGGTCACTGGGAGGGGGTTTGGGGTCACTGGTTTGGAACTGGGAGAAGGTTTGGGGTCACTGGTTTATACTGGGAGGGGACTGGGAGCAGGTTTGGGGTCACTGGTTTGGACTGGGAGGGCACTGGGAGTGACTTTGGGGTGACTGGGAAGGAACTCGGTGGGACTGGTTTATACTGGGAGGGACTGGGAGCAGGTTTGGGGTCACGGGGAAGGAACTGGGTGGGACTGGTTTATACTGGGAGGGGACTGGGAGCAGGTTTGGGGTCACTGGTTTGGACCGGGAGGGCACTGGGAGTCACTTTGGGGTCACTGGTTTGGACTGGAAGGTCACTGGGAGAAGGTTTGGGGTCACTGGGAGAAGGTTTGGGGTCACTGGTTTGGACTGGGAGGGCACTGGGAGACACTGGGAGAAGGTTTGGGGTCACTGGTTTGGACTGGGAAGTCACTGGGAGGGGATTGGGGTCACTGGGAGCAGGTTTGGGGTCACTGGTTTGGACTGGGAGCAGGTTTGGGGTCACTGGGAGAAGGTTTGGGGTCACTGGGAGAAGGTTTGGGGTCAGTGGTTTGGACTGGGAGGGCACTGGGAGCGACTTTGGGGTCACTGGGAGGGCACTGGGAGGGACTGGTTTATACTGGGAGGGCACTGGGAAGGGGTTGGGGTCACTGGTTTGGACTGGGAGGGCACTGGGAGCGACTTTGGGGTCACTGGGAGGGACTGGTTTATACTGGGAGGGCACTGGGGCCCCCCCAATCTCAGTGGCCACGCCCCCAACCCCACTGGCCACGCCCCCAAACTCACAAACCACGCCCCCACCTTCACTGACCACGCCCCTAACTCTGACCACGCCCCCAACCCCACTGACCACGCCCCCTAACTCAAGCCACGCCCCCAACCCCACTGACCACGCCCCCAAACTCACAAACCACGCCCCCATTTCAACAGCCACGCCCCAATCTTTGTGGCCACGCCCCTAAGATCGCAAGCCACGCCCCCACCTTCACTGACCACGCCCCAATCTCTGTGGCCACGCCCCTAAACTCACTAACCATGCCCCTAATTTACTAGCCACGCCCATAAACTCACTAGCCATGCCCCTAATTCACTAGCCACACCCCTAATTCACTAGCCACACCCCAAAATTCACTAGCCACACCCCCAGCTTCACTAGCCACACCCCCAATTTCACTAGCCACACCCCAAAATCCACTAGCCACCGCCCTAGTTTCACTAGCCACCTCCCAAAATCCATTAGCCATCCCCAAAATCCACTAGCCACACCCCTAACTTCACTAACCACACCCCTAACTCCACTAGCCACCTCCCAAAATCCACTAGCCACACCCCTAACTTCACTAACCACGCCCCTAACTTCACTAGCCACCCCCCAAAATCCACTAGCCACACCCCTTAAATCACTCGCCAACCCCCCATCTTCACTCCCCACCCCCTAAAAATCACTCCCCATCCCTCCAAAACTGCTAACCATGCCTCTAATTTCACTAGCTACCCCCCAAAATTCACTAGCCACCCCCCAAACCCCACTAGCCACCCTCCAGCCCTCACTAGCCCCCCTTTCCCAGGCCTGTACTACGTGGACAGCGAAGGCACCCGCGTGGCCGGCACCGCCTTCGCCGTCGGCTCCGGCTCCTCCTACGCCTACGGGGTGCTCGACAGGGGCCTGGGGGGCTCCCAAGATTCGCTAGCCACCTCTGGAGATTCGGTAGCCACCCCTGGGGGGTCATTAGCCACCCCAGAGGCCGCCTGGGAGCTGGCACGGCGAGCCATCTACGGAGCCGCCCGGCGCGACGCCTACTCGGGGGGCAGCGTGCTGGTGCTGCACGTGGGGCCCGCCGGCTGGCACCAGGTGTCCCTGCACAACGTGGCACAGCTCCAGGACATCTACGGGCACCAGTGAGTGTACTGGGAGGCACTGGTTTATACTGGGAGGCACTGGTTTGTACTGGGAGGCACTGGGAGGCACTGGGATTAAAAACGCGGCGGTTCCGGGACGATCTCGGCGTGTCCTGTGGTGTTTTTTGGGGGGCACTGGGAGGCACTGGGAGGCACTGGGAGGGGCTTAGGAGTCACTGGGATATACTGGGAGGCACTGGGAGTCACTGGGAGGGGATTAGGAGTCACTGGTTTATACTGGGAGGCACTGGGAGTCATTGGGAGGGACTGGGATTAAAAACGCGGCGGTTCCGGGACGATCTCGGTGTGTCCTGTGGTGTTTTTGGGGGGCACTGGGAGGCACTGGGAGGGACTGGGAGGTGACTGGGGGGCACTGGTTTACACTGGGATACACTGGGAGTCACTGGGAGGGGATTAGGAGTCACTGGTTTATACTGGGAGGCACTGGGAGGGGATTTGGGGGCACTGGGATACACTGGGAGTCACTGGGAGGGGATTAGGAGTCACTGGTTTATACTGGGAGGTGACTGGGTTATACTGGGAGTCACTGGGATTAAAAACGCGGCGGTTCCGGGACGATCTCGGTGTGTCCTGTGGTGTTTTTGGGGGGCACTGGGAGGCACTGGGAGGGACTGGGAGGTGACTGGGGGGCACTGGTTTACACTGGGATACACTGGGAGTCACTGGGAGGGGATTAGGAGTCACTGGTTTATACTGGGAGGCACTGGGAGGGGATTTGGGGGCACTGGGATACACTGGGAGTCACTGGGATACACTGGGAGTCACTGGGATTCACTGGGAGGTGACTGGGTTATACTGGGAGGGACTGGGTTATACTGGGAGGCACTGGGATTAAAAACGCGGCGGTTCCGGGACGATCTCGGGGTGTCCTGTGGTGTTTTTGGGGGGCACTGGGAGGCACTGGGAGGGGATTGGGGGGCACTGGGAGGCACTGGGAGACACTGGGAGTCACTGGGAGTCACTGGTTTATACTGGGAGGCACTGGGAGTCACTGGGTTATACTGGGAGTCACTGGGATTAAAAACGCGGCGGTTCCGGGACGATCTCGGTGTGTCCTGTGGTGTTTTTGGGGGGCACTGGGAGGCACTGGGAGGCACTGGGAGGGGACTGAGACACACTGGTTTATACTGGGAGACACTGGGAGTCACTGGGAGTCACTGGGAGACACTAGGAGGTGACTGGGTTATACTGGGAGTCACTGGGATTAAAAACGCGGCGGTTCCGGGACGATCTCGGTGTGTCCTGTGGTGTTTTTGGGGGGCACTGGGAGGGGATTGGGGGGCACTGGTTTATACTGGGAGACACTGGGAGGTCATTGGGAGGCACTGGGAGGGACTGGGTTATACTGGGAGGCACTGGGATACAGTGGGAGTCACTGGGAGTCACTGGGAGGAGAGTGGGTTATACTGGGAGGCACTGGGAGTCACTGGAAAGGGATCGGTTGGCACTGGTTTGGGCTCTGGGTTATACTGGGAGTCACTGGGAGTTACTGGGAGGGACTGGGAGTTACTGGTTTGGGTTCTGGGTTATACTGGGAGTTACTCGTTTGGGGTCTGGGGGTCACTGGGGTTCACTGGGACTTACTGGGACTTACTGGTTTGGGCTCTGGGTTATACTGGGAGTCACTGGGAGTCACTGGGAGTTACTGGGAGTCACTGGGTGGGACTGGGAGGTGACTGGGTTATACTGGGAGTCACTGGGAGTTACTAGTTGTTACTGGTTTGGGGTCTGGGGGTCACTGGGAGTCACTGGGAGTTACTGGGAGTTACTGGTTTGGGGTCTGGGTTATACTGGGAGTTACTGGGAGTTACTGGTTTGGGCTCTGGGTTATACTGGGAGTCACTGGGAGTTACTGGGAGTCACTGGTTTGGGCTCTGGGTTGTACTGGGAGTTACTGGTTTGGGGTCTGGGGGTCACTGGGTGTCACTGGGAGTTACTGGTTTGGGCTCTGGTTTATACTGGGAGTCACTGGGAGTTACTGGGAGTTACTGGTTTGGGCTCTGGGTTATACTGGGAGTCACTGGGAGTCACTGGTTGTTACTGCTTTGGGCTCTGGGTTATACTGGGAGTTACTGGTCATTACTGGTTTGGGGTCAGAGGTCACCGGGAGCCCCCCCAGTCCCTCCCAGCCCCTCCCAGTCCCTCCCAGTCCAAACCATCGACTCTTTAATCACCATTTTATTAATTAATTAATCCCTCCCAAGCCCCTCCCCAGGCCCCTCCCCCTCTCGGTGGGCGGGGCTTGGCTCGGCCCCTCCCCCTTTTTCCCGTCCCGCGGATTTCGGGGCGGGGTCCCCGCCCTCCCCACCCCCGGCCAGTTCCCCTCCCCACCCCAAAAAAACCCCAAAATTGGTAAAAATTTCATTAAAAAAAAAACCAAAAAAACCCGCCCGGCCAAGCCACGCCCCCTCATTTGCATAAATGGATTAAACCACGCCCACTAGAGGCGAGTTGGCCACGCCCCCAATCGGGGAAAAAAAGGGGCGTGGCCTCAGAGCACCATTAAGGCAGGAAAGGGGCGTGGTCAACAAAAAAGGGGGCGTGGCCACAGAAAGGGGATGTGTTAATGGGAAAAGGGGCGTGGCCACAAAGAGGGCGTGGCCTCCCCAAAAAGAGGGAGTGGCCAAATGAAAGCAGGGGGCGTGGCCAACACAGAAAGGGGCGTGTCCTTTTAAAAGGGGGCGTGGCCGTTCCTTTAAGGGATGTAAAGGGGGCGTGGCTAAGGAAAAGGGGGCGTGGCCAGCCTGAAAAAACGCCCCCTGGTGGCCTGATTGGTTAGAGAGACATAGAAGGGGCGTGGCCAGGGATATTAATGAGGGGCGTGGCCAAACGAGCAGGGGGCGTGTCCAGGCAAGGTGGGCGTGTCCAGGGGACCCGAGGGGGCATGGCCAGCGCCGACAGCGCCCCCTGTTGGCCAGATTGGTTAGAGAGACATAGAAGGGGCGTGGCCAGGGATATTAATGAGGGGCGTGGCTAAACGAGCAGGGGGCGTGGCCAGGTGACCTGAGGGGGCGTGGCCAGCACCACCAACACCCCCTGCTGGCTCAAAGGGATCAGAAAGATCAATGAAAGAGGGCGTGGCCACCCAAATAATAAAGTGGGCGTGTCCGGGCGGGAAGTGGGCGTGGTCTAACACCGAGTGGGCGTGGCCCGACGTCACGGTGGGCGTGGTCAAACCCTGGGCAGCAGCGAGCGCTGGCACCGCCTGAGCCCCTTGGGGGCGCCCCGGCGCCGGCAGAGCAAGGCCACGCCCCCCACCAGCCCAGCCAATCCCAGCAGGGCCAGCGGGGCCGCCACCGCCCCCGGCCCCGCCCCCACGGCGATGACGATCACCTCGGTGTCCCCTCCCCCTCCCGGCGGGGGCGGGGCCAAGGTGGGCGTGTCCGGGGGGGCGGGGCAGCCCAGCCAATCGCGGAGGGCGGATTTGGGG